GGAGCATAAGCTAGCCATGTGGGCTGCCGGGTGTGGGGGACGCAGCCCTGCCGCCCCATATTACTACAGGTATAATTTTAGATCCTCTCACCTCTCATTCCCCAGACATTCTGGGAATCCATCTTCAGCACGTTCCTCCAGAAGCGTTAGACTGTACTGAAGTAGGTCCTCACTTCCCTCACACCTGCGCATACCTCCTACCTGCGGTCCTGACACCATCTTACACGTGACTCTGTGGATGTGTAACGGACAGAGGCTGACATTCTCCTCCTTCTTTCTGTTTTGTATTTTGAGAGGGTCTCACCCATGTAGCCCTGGCTGTCCTAGAACTCACCACGCAGACCAGGCTGGCCTCTGCCTCCCAAATGCTGGGATTAGAGGTGTCCACCACCATGCCCCACTTTCTGCCTCATTTCTAGGTACAGAGTCTCTTACTGAGGTTAGGCAATGACCTCTAGGGGCTTTTACTTTATGTGAACAAGTGCTTTGCCTATGCTACATTCACACAGTGCTCACAGATGCCAGAAGATGGCCTCAGAGTCTCTGGAGACGAAGTTATGGACAGTTATTAGTGGCCACTTGTGTGCTGAGAACTGAAACAAGCCCTCTTAACCACTGAGTCATCACTCTAGGTCCTCCCTAGCCCACTTTTGTCATTATGCCTATCTTTATGGACTGTTCTCATAAAGAACTCCTACTCCCAATCCATGCAGCTACCGCCCTTACATCATCTCCAAACATTCCATAATCTCCTCAAATAACGGCTCAACTCTTGTAGACGACTGCTAGCTCTGCCCGGCTTGAACTACCAGTGCTCATCCAGCCACTCCACTCAGATATCTAAGTAACAACTCTCTCATACAGTTCCTGTAAGCCTGGACCTATCAGCCCTCAGCCGCGACTGTGCTTCCTCAAGCACCAGGAGAGTGCAGTCTTGTCAGATGGTGGCCTCTCAAGCCAGGCTCTTGTGCCCTTCCTGCGGGCACTCTTTGATCACACAACTTCACCCTCCTGTTAGACAAAACAAAGCATCCTCAATTCTAAAAATGTACAAAGACTTCACAGACATGTGCTTTACAAGGGTGACAATAACAACTAAATAAACATTCTCAATTCCATCCAGTCAGACTGCCTATCTGTCCTGACATGTCTCCTTGACAAGAAAAATGTAAAAGGTAAAAAATAAAAATAAAATGAAATCCCACCATTTACCAATCAGTCCTTGACTACCTGGAGCCTGACTTGTGATGGTCAAAAAACCACCTGAAGCTTTACTCCTTATGACCCTTGGTGCCTCATCCCAGATAGCCAGTCACAAGAAAGAATTTTCCACTTAATAAATGAGGCAGGGTGGCGCAAACACCTATGAGGTGCAGAGGCAGCAGGATGAGGAGTACAAGCCCATCCCTAGCTACATAAAGTCTGAGGCCAGCCTAACACACGACAGCCTATCTCAAAATCCTGTGCTAACTCTCAAAAAGATAGTAAAATATCCACTTATCCATCTGGATATGGACACCACACAAATAGAACACCCAAAGTTAGTTGCTATAGAAGAATTCTAATTCCCTATCAGGAGGGATTCCTCTAAGAACCTACTCGATTTCTGTTTTTGCAGATTTTCTTAAATAAATCTGTGTCTGTTCTGGGCTGAACTTTCTCCTCACACCTCTGGCCTACTATCCTTCCCCAGCAGAGCAAGAAAGTCTACAGAAAAAGCCGATCTACAGAGCACACAGTACAACAGAGGTTTACACAAGGATAAACTAAAGAAACGAACGGGGACTGGGTTGGGTGGGGATACAAGCTCCAACTGCGCACCTATTAGAAGAGTCGCTATGCTAGCCACCAGTTCTCAACCTGTAGGTCGTGACCTCTTTGGGGTCGATTATCAGGTAGCCACATTAGGACTCACAAAGAGTAGCAAATTTACAGTTACTAGGTAGCAATGAAATAATTTTATGGTTGAGGAACTGTATGAAAGGGTCGAAGCATTAGGAAGGTTGAGAACCACTGTGCTAGAGAGAATCGCAAGCCACCAAAAGGCTAGAGAGACAGCTAGGCTTGCATGGTACAAGCCTGGAGACCTGAGTTAGATCCCTGGAACCCGCGCAAAAGTGGGAGGGTGGCAGCAACTTCACAACGCTGTCCTCCACACATGCACGGTGACAAGCAGCCAACACTGCCAATAATAATTTTTCTAAAGCTTGAGCTTTACACGTGAGCTTGAATTTTTAATATAAAAACTACAAACAAACCAATCAAAAGAGACAGATGCTAACTTGAAAACTGTTAATTTCAAAACCTGTAGTTTAAAGAAATGGTCAGCTGGCTTACTCAGTAGTTCACCCGACATCTAGCCCGAAAAACTGAACACATAACATTAGAAAGCTCAGTGTATAACACGACTTACAGAAGAAAGCAGCCTAAACACCGCTGGAACCCAGCACCTTTAACACTCACAGTTGCCTATCACACAGAATGCAATTACTCTGCGAGCAGTGGCGCATTACAACCACGACAGCTGATAGCACTTCTTCAAATGATGCAATCCCAGGTAACGTTAGCCCACATATTCCTAGCAAGGTACAGGTGTAGGGACTATGTTCAACTTTCATCCTTACTAGCCTACACAGTATCACTCACTATCCCAAACTCTTTTAAATTGTTTCAACTATAAAATGTGCATCTGTGAAAACAACAACAAGCCTTGGAAACATAGAGAAAATGAAGATCACACCCTGTAATCCCAATTTAGACTCAAAATCTTTGTTGACTTCTTCACACAATCTACACATTATATTTTCTTACCAAGTTTGGGAATACAGAAAATAAACTCCTTGTAACTTTTATGAATTCTACCATAAACCAAAAATTGTAATTCTTCCAACATCAAAGAATTACAAAAACATTCTCTAAAAAAAGAAAAAAAAATCAGATTGTCAATGCATGCAAGTGTTTTGCTTGCGCATATGTATTGTGTGTACCCTGTGCGTGCCTGGTGCCGAGTTCAGAAGAGAGAGTCAGATACCTTCCCTGAACTGGAGTTTTGGACGGTTGTGAACCATCATGTAGGTGCTGGGATTGCAGTAAATGCTAAGAGCTAATCAACTATACAATCAATCTATGTATTCTCTCATCTACTCTTGCAACGTTTAAAAAGATTGACTTTGCATTACATTCACGTGGTGTAGAAGATTTCAAATCTTGACTTTAAAAATGAGGATAAATGTGTCTCTGTAAAAATTAATCCTCAAATCTGTCTATCCAGATGAAAATGGAAATCACTGCATCTATTAAAGAGTTGTTTCAATAAACCAGGACACACCAGCGAACACTTCACAAGCCTATTTCTTTTCTTAAAATTAAATATGTGTGGAGGGCTAGAGAGATGACTCAGAGAGACTACTGCTCTAGCAGAGGATGCTGGTTTAGCTTCCAGCACCCACTACCAGTTGCTCACAATGGCCTTTAACCCCAACTTCAGGTATCAGGCACCCTCTTCTGGCCTATGCAGACACCTACATACATGTGCCCCTTCCCCCTTCAGACACGTAATTATAAATAAAACAAATCTTTAAAAATGTTTTTTAAACCAAACAGCTAGAATGTGGCACAAACACCGAATTTCACTTTCAAGCACAGATACAGCGACTAGAAGTGAATACACAGCCAGCATTCACATCTAAACTATTCCACAGTTCAAAACCACAGCGACGACTTGGTAACAGTGTACCAGGAACTTTACTTCGACAAAGAAGAAGGAAGTACTGTGAACACGGTTTGGGCTGGGTGCAAGAACTGCTGGCAAGAACACAGACACGCAGGGGGTGAGAATGTCCTTATATTTAGAAGAAGCAAGAGATCAAAGAGGAGAGACTCTTGGATTTCTCCCTTTCGTTCTCAACGATAAATCCGGGGAAATTCTTGAAAAGAATAATTCTCTACAGAAATTGTCACAGGTGCCGGGCGATGGTGGTGCACGCCTTTAATCCCAGCACTCGGGAGGCAGAGGCAGGCGGATCTCTGTGAGTTCGAGACCAGCCTGGTCTACAGAACTAGTTCCAGGACAGGCTCCAAAGCCACAGAGAAACCCTGTCTCGAAAAACAAAAAAAAACAAAAAACAAAAAAAGAGCTAGTTCTGGGACAGGCACCAAAGCTACAGAGAAACCCTGTCTCGAACCCCCCCCCCCCAAAAAAAAAAATTGTCACGGACAAGCATGCAGAGGAGAAAGTTTAAGTTCGGAAATAGCTCCCTGTGTAGATCCAGGTACCTGAGATCATAAAACTGGAATTTAAACAGTGGGCTCTACCTCCAGAATCAGAGAAAAGAAGTGAGGGGGAAAAAACCCACAGGTCAAAGTCAGTGGAAAAAACAAAACAAAACAGAACAACAACAACAAAATCCCCACACAGTTCCAAGAAGGAATTGGGCCGAAAACCGCTAGGGATTCAGATTTGGGCTAAGGAGATTCACCTGCAGGAAAAAGCAGACTAGTACAAGTAGCAATGAGGGATTCCAGTGCCCCAGGGTGGAGAGAAAGAGAAACAGAAAGAGTTCGGAGACAGAAGGGGCGTCAGACACCAGCAAGCTGGGCGGGAGTGTAAAGAGGGACCCGGGAACGGAGGGGAGAGCCGAGGCCGGGACCGCAAAGGACCCGGGGGCAGAAGAGAGCGAGGCCCGGGTCACAAAGCGGGACCCAGTGTGGGGGACAGAATCGAGGCGGGGGTGCAAAGGACCCGGGGACTGAGGAAGAGCTGAGACCGGGGGAGCAAAGCAGGACCCGGTAACAGGGGAGAACCAAGGACGGGGTCAACGAGGGGCCCGGGGCCAAGGAGGGAGAGCCGAGGCCCGGGCTCAGAGCTGAGACCTGGAACTGGTGGAGTGCCGAGGCTGGGGCGCAAAGTGGGACTCGGGAATGAGGAGGGGAAGGGAGGACCCAGGCCGGGGCCGCTGCTAGGTTGAGGGCAAGCGGAGGCGGAGGTGAGCCGCCGGTACCTGCAGAGATCGTCCAGGACGCTGCCGGGAATCTCCAAGCGTTTGGTCTCCATGATGAGGACCCGCAGCAGGCGCAGCGCATCCCGGCTCCGCGCAGCCTGCACGGTAGAGCGGCACACAGACCCGGGCCCGCGGACACTGGAACCCTCCGCCCGGACCCCGAGGCTGGGCCGAGGCGAGGGGCGGAACCCTGGGGCCACGCCCCCTCCGCGGGAACGGCCCAGTGGGAAGCTGGGGAACGCGCGCCTGCGCGCGCCTCACCAATGAGACGTTTGTTTATTGGTCCGTGGGCTCCAATCAGGCTTCAGGCTGCTCAGTTCCTGCTCAGAAGACCAACTTCCCGCCGCCTTTGACTGAGCGCACGCGGGTGTGTTTGCGCCTGCGTGTCCTGGGCGCCTTCTACTGTGCTCGGGAAGTTTCGAGTTCCTGTTCTCAGACACCTCCGCTCCACAAACGCCCCAGCCGCTCGGGCTTGGTCACAGTGGCTCCAACCTTATCAGAACCGACTGAACAGGCACTCGTTTCTATGGCGACGAATCCTAGAGCACCCCTTCATTAGACAAGCGATTTCCCGCGATTGCGGTCACCAAGTACTCTCCACAGGTTTCATTACTTCTAGGCCAAATGCCGTGCCCCTCGTTTATTCTCCCAAGTGCCCCTTTCCTGTGATGCTTTACTTTTGCGTCATCGATGGGACATTTTCCCATCCTTCAGAGGCAAGAAAGAATATATTTTTAAAGTTTTCCTTCTCCTACTCTATTATCCCTTTCAGCTGCCTTTGGTATTACATTGGTTTCTGGTTACCATATTAGTTACCTTGATTATATACTCACTTAAGAATAAAGTCAGAGTCTAGTGCTATAAAAGCTCTTAGCACAAGGGGAATTGTTTTCTAACAGATTGATCTAGACAGTAATTGACTTTGTTGTGTGTTTGTGTGCCTGCGCGTGTGCGTGCGTTTTCAGATAAATTTTATTGAGAATTTTACTAATGTATATACTGTATTCCAGCCAAATCCACCTCCCATTCTGTCTCTTCCAAATTAACCCCCTACATTTCCTTTCCAACTTCTCTGGTCCTCTTTCGCCTACACACATCCACTGAGTCCATTTAATGCTGCCTGTATGGGCACGAACTGGAGCGTGTGTATTCTTTTCCGGGCGGCATCCCTGGAGGAAACTTACTCTCCCTTCCTTCTACAGCCCTCCATTGTCAATGGCTTCTTAGCTAAGGGTGGGATTTTCTAACCCCCTACCCAAGCTGTGATTTCAGCCAACTCTATCTTGCACAGGTCTTGTGACTCAAGTCATAGTCACAGCGAGTCCACGTGTCCAATTTCCCTGATCTATTCAGAAAATAGTGTTTCACTGCAAACAGTCACTACTTCCAGCTCTTCCTGACTCTTGATTTTTGGTTTTTAGACCTAATTGGTAAGCACGAGCGAATAGTTAAGGATCATAGAAATCTAGTACAACAGACGGGAACCTATTTAACAGGAAAATGGAGCCTAGAGCAATCACGAAGCAGCAAAGAAATGTTCAAAGCATATTATTCCTTCCTTCTGACTGAACAAATTCCCCAAGGGGAAAAATGCTCCCAGGCTCAAAATAATTCTGAGAATAAAGGGGGGAAAGATGGACTGGAATAGTCTGTTCTCTTTTTTCAGTCCTCTCCTAGGACCTCACAAGTCTTAGATGTCATAGGAAGCAGGCCTTGGGAAAGGAGTTGAGTTCAGGCAGTGTGATGGCAGCAAGCCTAGGAAACAGGTAACAGAACAAGGAGGCAAGTGAAGGATGCTAACACAGGCATGAAAGGTTGATCATCCAGAAAAGGATGAGGGTGACTGGAACTTGATCTTTTTACTGAGAAACTCTGGAAACCAGTGTAAACTCAAGAGTTATTCCACTGAAGAGAGATATAGTGGTCTGAATGAGAACGGCCTCCATAGGCTCATATATTTTAATGCTCGGTCCTCTTTGGGAAGGATTAGAATGTGTAGCCTTGGTGGATGAGGTGTGTCAATGGAGATGGACTTTGAACTTTCAAAAGTCCTCACCATTCCCAGTTCATTCTCTCTCTCTCTCTCTCTCTCCCTCCCTCCCTCCCCTCTCTCCCCCCCCCCTCTCTTTCTCTCTCTCTCTGCATTGTGGTTGTTGTCTCCACATGTAAGCTCTGCTTTATGGCCCCAGTGACATGACTTCCTGTCTGCTGCCATGCACCAGGATGATCATGGATTTGCCCTCTGAAACTGTAAGCCCAATACACATTCTTCCATAAGTAGTCTTGGCCACAGTGTCTCTTCACAGAAATAGAAAAGTAATTAAGACATGGAATTTTATATACAAAACTGCATCGTCAGTAGAGTGTTGCTCCTAGACCTGTGACCTGCCTGCCACATAGCAAGGTGTGCTCTGGTGGCCAAAAGGAGCCCCCAGGCAAAGGAATGCAGGCGCTACCATTAGGAAATCCGACCAATCGAGCATATAGATGGTAAAGACCGAGGTGACACCCTTCAGTTGGGCTATTTTCCTGTATGCACATTCTGTTTGTCTTGACTGTCATTGCAAGGACTAAGGAAAAACCTTAGCGGGTTTTATTCCTCAGTTATCCCATTTTAGACTTCAAATCTAGTTTTAGAGCACCCTAAATCATGGCAGTGAACAGGATTATAAAGCCAAATGATGTTGATCCTTGTGGACCAGTGGTATAGGAACAAAGAATTTAGCACCCCCTGCTGGAACACTGAAGGAAGTCTTCCTACGGTATTTTTGTAGTGTATCATTTTAGGTGCGGATGTACACCACCTTTGGGGCTCTAGGGCCTAGGAAGACCCTAACTCTCACACAGTGTGAATCTTATCTTCTTCAATAAAGTCCTGAGGATGTTTGTTCTCACGCATCTTGGTAGGCATTTTTCTGTCTATGTCTGTGCTCTGCCTTCTCACCCACAGGTCTCTCAGAGCTAGACTGGTGCATAGTAGACAGTTCTCTGAGCTATAAATCCCAAGAACTCGAAGCCTCACTCTGTTCTTCATGGCACCTGGATTGATGAATACAAATGAACTGAAACATGGTGCTGAGGGAAAAGGGGATGCTGCGATTCTTAAATTGTATTACTAATTTGTTTTTATTTAATTTGGCTGGTGAAAACCTTTACAGTTTTAAAATTCACTATTTAATTGAATCTTTATAACTACAAGAATAGGTGGATCAGAAGTAAGCTTGTAAAAATTAAAAGACATGAAGTGGATAAGGGCACTTGTTACTCTTTCAGTAGGACCAAAGTTCGTCCCAGACAGGTGATGGACAGTTCACAACTTCCTGTAACTATAGCTCTAGGCAATCTGAGTGCCTCTTTTGGCCTCTGCAGGCACCTGTATGTTGGGACCATTTGGAGTCCTGGCCTCCAGCTGCTCTTCCTTGCTAGTGATCTTTACTTTCCTTCTGATTCGAGTTACTGAAAGCTGTGTCAAAGTTGTTTAACAGCTCTGCTTCACGAGCACGTGTTGCCTTGGCCTTGAGGATCAGAGGATAAGGTTTTCACCTGTTGGCCCACCTGACTGTGTTGGCTATATAAGCCTCCGTGGTGCTATTGAATAAAGGGCTTCTTACCATCGACTAGAGGTCCATGTCTCTGTCTCTCTGTGTGTGTCTTTGTATGCTTCAACCTCCAGCCCCTTGCCTGAAGCTCGTGGTAGCGCATAGAGCACAGACAGGCGTTGTGCGCTGCACTGCACACACGTGTACATGCATGCACACCCACAAATAAAAAGTAACTAAATGCTAAATGACATGTATTTTAGAGTTTGACAAGATCTTGTTTTGTTGTGAGTTAGATTTTAAAAGAAGGTTTTGCTATAAGTTACTGTACAGGCATTAAAAATTATTGTGTGTCATTCTCCCTATAACAGAATTTCTGCTGCAAATTCAGGAAAACTGAATTCTAGTCCTATTTAGCTACCAGGCTCTCACAGTCTCCCTGAGGGCATTTTCCTAACAACCATTAATACCTCCTAATAGGACACCTTCTTAAAGGTTCCCCTATTTCCTAGTAGTGGCATTTTGGAGACCAAGTCTTTAGCAGATGACTTTTGAAGAGACACTCCATATTTGAACTATAATATAAAAGTAACATATAAATTGTAAAAATACCAGGCTGAGGGTGTTTATGGCACTGTTGTAGAATACTTGCCTAGTACTGAAAGTTCCTGGTGTTGATTCTTAGAATGCAATACAGTGAAATGTAAAATAAATACCCGTGTTAAATAAAGGCATATGCATAAGCATGTTTTCATAAACAAATGTAAGACTCTCTCATGTTCGTTCATCTGCCCCTTCTTCCTCCTAGCCCTCTTACCCCCAGGCACTGATGTGTGGCTCAGAATGAAAGCAGTCAATGGAACAAATGCAAAAGCAGAAAAGTGCTTAGCTACTCATAAAACAAAAACAAAACAAAAAATGCTTCTTTTATGTGAAGGAAAAACATCAGGAAAAATTATATTTAAGGATTTTTTTTAAAGTGACAATGCCATTTGTTTCAGTTTTTTTTTAAAAAAGAAAACAAACTAGCTTTTTTCATTTTACATATCAATTCCAGTTCCCACTCCCTTCCCTTTTATGCCCCTTCCCACCCACTCCTCAGAGAGGGTGAGGCACATTGCTTTGGGGAAGGTCCAAGGCCCTCCCTACTATATCATGGCTGAGCAAGGAGAATGGGTTCCCCAAAAGCCAGCACAAGCAGTAGGAATAATTCTACTGTCACCCACATTCAGAGGGTCTAGTTTGGATCAATGCTGGTTCCTTCCCTGTCCAGCTGGAGTTGGTGAGCTCCCATTAGCTCAGGTAGACTGTTTTAGTGGGTGTCCCTATCATGGTCTTAACCTCTTTGCTCACATTCTCACTCCTCTCCCTCTGGACTTTGGGAACTCAGCCCAGTGATCTGCTGCAGGCCTTTGCCTCTGTTTCCATCAGTTGGTGGAGAAAGGTTCTATGGTGACATTTAAGATATTCATCAGTCTGGCTACAGGGCAAGGCCAGTTTGGGCACCCTCTCCTTTGTTGCTTAGGGTCTTAGCTGGGGTCATCCTTGTGGATTCCTGGGAATTTCTCTACTGCCAGGTTTCTTGCCAGCCCCATAATGGCTCCCTCAATCAAGATATCTCTTTCCTTGCT